GGGTTTAGGGTTCAGGGCCTGTTTAGGGGTTAAGGTTGACCACAAAAGCCTGTACAGATTAGCAGAAAAAGCGGAATGTGGTGGTGTATGCTTCGATCGCGTCTTTGGCCCGTACTCTTGGAAGCTTCAATTCAAGAAGGCTCTCTTGTGTTGAGATTTCGAAATTCCAGGTATCGGTTCTAGGGTTATGGGTTTCGCTGCTCGCAAAGGCTGGCACGGCGCTTGGTGGCTCGAAAGCAAAGTGCTTGTGGTCATGTATCGCCTTGGCTTTCCCTATTCGCTTTTCACTGACCCTGGAAACCTTGCACAATCTTTGTAGAAATCCCACCCCATAACCTTAAACCCTAAACCCTAAATCCCACCCGTGCCCCTAAACCCCAAACCCTAAATCCCACCCCATGCCCCTAAACCCTAAACAACCCTAAACCCCATGCTCGGAAACAAAATCCCGACTCTAACTCCCTGCGCACCAAGCCGAGAAGGCAGAAAAGGCGGCGCATGGCACGTGAGGAACCCAAGGCTTTGGGGCTCCAGAGCTTAGCGGTTCAGGGTTTTGGGTTTGGGGTTTAGGGCCCGGGGTTTAGGGTTTAGGGTTAGCCTAGGGTTTAGGGTTTAGGGATGTGATCTTGGGATTGGGGGTTCTGCGCGTGTGCGCTTGTTGGTTTTGAGGGAGCCGTAGCATGTAGGGATAGATGCGGGCTAGGCTACTGCAGGGCGGATCGTAGCATCTTGCAGACATCGACGAGAGCTTTCAGCTAAGGCCAGGCTTCGTGGCGAAGGTTGCACAGTGCGTCTGCGAAACATACGGTTGAGGACATAAATCCTGCATTACCCATAATAAGCAATATACCATAATTCCCATAGTTTAGGATCCTTAAGGTAATGCAGGATGTATATCATCAACAGTACGACTGCGATCGCTCATGCCCTTCTCCTATGCTGAGCCGCAGGCCCCGATCAAAGGATGTCTTGCCACAAGCTTCCGGCAACCAGACACCAGTGTTGCAGCAGTTGCTTCCAGTTGGATAGCCCCTACCTCACAGACGAATCTGCAGCCTGAGACCCCAAACACTTCAAAAAGTTGGCCAAATCCCGCCCGAGGAAGTCATCGAAAATTCCCTCAACCCCAAAAGTCTTTGTGGCCCTTTGCCACAAATAGAGCTTCAAGAGCTTTGAGGGTGTGGGCTCTAGGCTTTAGGCTTAAACTGAACTCCCTTGCAGTGACATGGTTAGTGTAAGGGCTCTGTGGGATAAGCAAGACTCTCAGAGTTTCACCACCATCACCACCACCAGCATGGACACGAACAACAACAGGAAGAAACAACACATAAAAATGCTCAACAAGTGACAAGAACACGACCAACAAGCGATGATAACAAGCAAACCCTAAACCGGAAACGCTTACAAACTCCAAGCCGCAAGTACACGGCTGGCCTCGCCCTCCACGTCGATGACTGTCGCGGGAGAAGAGGCGCAAGGATTTCCTGCTGCAGGGGTTCACTTACGGCCTGGGGATCTAGAGTGCTTGAGTTTCAGGTGGGAAGTCGCACTGCACTATCGGAACCCTAACGCCGAATCTTAAACTTCACCCTACACACCCTAAACTCTTAACTAAACCCTGAACCCTGAACCTTATAAACCCTAAAACCTAAACCCTGACCCCTACACAATGTGTCTTGTCTTGAATCTGCCCGGACGGGCCAAGTCCCAGCTCAGCTCAGTTCTGGCGTCGGAGGGCAACAATGTGAGGGCCTTGATAACTAGAATAGGGTTTGGGGGTCCTTTATAATATACTAAGAATAATAACAATAGTAATAAGAATACATAATACAAATAGTAATAATATTAAGAAGAAGAAGAAGGAGTCCCCCAAATAGTATTGGTGATTATTAAGGCCCCTACAGCACACAGAAGCTTTTCTTGAACGTGTTCTGGTGTACGGCGGGCCAATGCAACAGCATGGTTCATTTCCGTACGGGATTCTGCCATTGCAAAGGAAACACCTACGGTGGAAAATTTAAGCTAGCAAAACAGGGAACTCCAACGGTGGAGCATTCCCGATTGAACTACAACACAGAGGATGATGGCATGAGAATCGCACTGCGAAGTCGCCTTTAGACGACAATGCAGTGTGCCAACAGAACTTGGCCTGCTCCCTCAAGCAAGCCATGAATAGAATTGTGTAAAGCTGTTTCGCGAAAGACTACTCAGTGTCCTTCGCCTTTGAGCTTCCCACGGTAATGGGAAGAGCTGCGCCACGGGGCGCGATGCCTGGAGGCAGG